TCGTGGCCCCTCAGGGAACTCCACCGAAGGCCCCAGCGGCGGCGCTCACATGCGCATGCGTCCCGCACACCCAATTCGGCACATCCCTCACAGGTTTCGTGGCCCCATCATCCACTGGAGGCCCCAGTGCCGGCGCTCACATGCGTCACCCACACCCACCCAATTCGGCACACCCCTCACACGCTTCGTGGCCCCATAGGGAGCCCCACCGAAGGCCCCAGCGGCCGCGCTCACATGCGTCCCCGCCACCCATCCCGGCACGCCCCTCACAACAACAGGTTTCGTGGCCCCATAGGGAGCTCCACCGAAGGCCCCAGTGGCACCGCCCGCATGCGTCACCACCCGCACCCAATTCGGCACACCCCTCACACGTTTCGTGGCCCCATAGGGAGCTGCACCGAAGGCCCCAGTGGCGGCGCTCACATGCGTCCCCGCCACACATCCCAGTACACCCCTCACGCGCTTCGTGGCCCCATAGGGAGCTCCACCGAAGGCCCCAGTAGCGGCGCTTACATGCGTCTCCGCCACCCATCCCGGCCCCCCCCCCCCGCAGCAGCATCATGTTTCGGGGACTCATAGGGAGCTCCACTGGAGGCCCCAGCGGCGGCCCCACATGCGTTTCCGCCACCTATGTCGGCACGCCCCGCGCGTGTTTCATGTCCCCATAGGGAGCTTCGCCGAATGCCCCAGTGGCACCCATCTCGACACACCCCTCACACGTTCCGTAGTCCTATGGGGAGTTCCACTGAAGATGGAACCCGCAGCTGCGGTACTGACAACTGCATATGGTTGGGTTCTTCGCCAGGCTATTTTTTTAAAATACTCAAGAGATGCCCTAAAATGATCAAAAAATAATCCCCATCATATTTTTGACTATTTTTGAATATTCCCCCTGTAAAGGGACAGGCCCGACTAAAATCATTGGTGATTATCATTGGGAGGAGGGAGGCGCGAGCGGGAGGAAGAAGGAGGAGGAGGAGGAGTGGGAGGCGTCAGAGTAATAACAAGAACCCCAATCCTTAGGATATGGGGAATAATCCCCATAATATTTTTGACTATTTTTGAATATCCCCCCTGTAAAGGGACAGGCCCGACTAAAATCTGGGAGGCCTGGGCAATCCTGGCGCATCTCCTCAACCTCGGCCTCCGGGGCCCGCCGTCGGGCCCAGGGGCCATGACAGAAGGGGCCCCGGGGACGAGCAAAAACGGACCCCGGGGGAATGGTCGGGACCTCTGGGACGCCCCTTGGACAAATCACATCCTCCTCCTCCTCCTCCTCCTCCTCCTCCTCCTCCTCCCCCTCGTCTTCTTCTTCTTCTTCTCCTTCTTCTTCTCCTCCTCCTGAACCCTCGTGCCCGCCGTATCCATATGCGTATCCTCGCGGTCCAGGCCCCTCGGGCCCCGAGCCCACATGTGCAGGGTGGCCCTGCGGGGATGCCCCGCGCGGGGCTCATCCAGGGGATCGCGTACCCACAGGATCGCGTCGGGGGTCCAGGCCGCGAGGGCACGGATGTGGACACGTCCGCCGCTCGCGAACGCGGGGCCTCGCGAGCGGGGGCTTCGATCAGGACGCCCTGGCGCGCCCGAGGAAACTGCGGCTGCGGGCAGAGGCCTTCTCCGCACTGCGCTCTCCCCTCGCTGGCTCTGGCAGGGCCCTGGTGCGGGCGCTATCAACCCTCGCCCTTATTCTTCCAAACCTTCCGTGCTGACCTTCCACACTCTTGCGCTTCGTGAAACGCTGACTTTTCTTGCGTTTCCTGAGGCTTTCAGTCGTTTCAATGCATCACCTTCCGCGCCTCCCGCAGAGGTCGGAAGGTGTGGAAGATGGAGGTGGAGGGAAGCCCGTGTCGGCGACGAGTGGGCGGTTGGAGGCTCGTGCTCGCATCCTCCCCCGAGCCCACCCCGCCCAGTGGCCCTCGCCTCTGGTTTTCGGGTCGCAGCTCGGGTCTCTGGCAGATGGGCAGCTCCGGACGCCTCTCGGCGAGGCGCAACGGCTGGAACGCCTCCCGAGGCTGTAAAGCCGCCAGGGGCCCACGGACACGTCCCAAGACCTCGGCCCTCCTTCCCGAGGCATGTCCCCCTCAGCCTGCCCCCCTTCCTCTCAGACACCCGACGCCATGTTTTTTTCGCAGCGTGGACCCCCAGAAGTCTCGACCCACTCCCCCGGACCACTTGTTCCTCCCGAGTCGTTTTTTGACGGTCCCTGTGCGCGTTAAGAGCCAGTAGAGGCTAAAAACGACAGAAAACATCCAGTCATGATTCCTGGAGTAGCGTTTCGCTAAGAGGGTCCCAGGCAGAGGTTGCAGAGGACCACAGAAGAGCCCCACAAGGGGGACGGGGATCTCCAGACCGCCACCCTGGATCGTTCGGTCCGGCAACGGTTTCGCCCGAAGCTTTCTCACAACTCGTTCAAGAATCGTGCTCTCGCCGGGGCCGGCTACATGCTTGGCCTGGACGGCTACGAACCCTTGTCTCGGCAATGGACACACCTCCCTTTCGTAAACCTCCCCTTCGTGAAAACGGCCCGGGACCGAGACCGGCGGACCTGCACCCGCAGAAACGACGGCCGCGACGCCCTCTCGCGAACCGGAAGCGGCCAGTTCACTAATCGACGCGTCAGGGTGGGAGGCCTGTCCACCCCCGATTGCAACAACTACACTTCTGTCGGGCGTGTTCCCCTACAGGGGGACTTTCGACGAAAAATAAAAAATACCCCCAAAATATTCAAAAAATAGTTCAAAAATAATCAGGGGACTATTTTTTGGGTATCTTTTGACACTGTTGGGGTATTTTTTGGGTATTCTCTATTGTTCGCCGAAAATCCCCCCCTGTAGGGGGACACGCCCGACATGAAGCTACACTGAAGTGCACATGGCCGTGCTCTCACCCCTGTCACTGGCCGACCCCCCCGCTCCTCGACCCGCCTCTTGACCTTTGCTTTATGTTGGGCGTGTCCCCCTACATGGGGATTTTCGACGAAAAATAAAAAATACCCCCCAATGCCCTATCAAGTTCCAAACATACTAAACAAAAATAGTCCCTGGACTTTTTTTTTTTTTTGGGGGGGGGGGTATTTGTTTTTCGTCGAAAATCCCCCTGTAGGGGGACAGGCCCGACATAACCTTTGCTGCCACCACTTGAAGTGCTCTGCGGGGGGCAGCTCGTCCCAAACCGTTTTCTGACGGCCTCGGCGCCCGCGAAGGGCCCCTGGGCGCTGGAGGTGGCCAAGAACCTTCCGTCGATGGCCGAACACCTTCCGCCATGATTTTTGTTGCTCCCCCGACTCGACAAGGGGGTCTGGCCTCGTGGCCTGGACAGGACTTCGGATTGTGCACAGGGCCCCCCCCAGGTAGTCCCAGCAGGCCTCCTCGACAGGCCTCACCAGGCCCCCCGAGTAGTCCGGGGCAGTCTCAACACCCCAGAGATCCGATGTCGTGATTTTTTGCAATACGGGGTCCCCGGCAGTCTCGACCCATTCCCCAGGACCACTGTTTCATCCTGAGTCGTTTTCTGACGGCCTCGAGGCCCGGCGAGGGCCCCGCCCCTGGGGGCCGAAAACTTGGGAAAAACCTCCGTCTTGATTTTCCCAACACGTTGGATCTCAGGGACCTCGGCCCTGGGGCGCGGAGCGCCCCAGGGGCGCCGCGAGCAGCGGCGCCAGGGATGCTGAGACCGCCCCGGGCTGGCTGGGGGGGGCGCCTGCTGATGTCAGCTCTGGGACTGCCCTGGGGGGTGTCTGTCCCAGACATGCGACGCCGTGATTCTTTCGGTGCGTTTCAAGATTTGGGAGCGGCCAAGAGGGGGGCGTCCAAGAGAGGGGGGCGCAAATCATGGCCGGCGGCATGTGCGCGGCCCAGGGGGGTGGTCCAGGGACGTACTGAAACAAGAAGAGGCGCCATGAAATCTGGGGAAATATCATGGCCCACGCCATGATATCCACCCCTCCCTAGTCCTCCCCCCCCTCTTTTCCGCCCCCGAAATACGGGATCCCTAGAAATCCCGACCCCTTCTCCGGGACCAGCTTTCCATCCCGAGTCGTTTCTTGACGGTCCTGGGGCCCGGCGATGGCCCTGAGAAGCTGGCAACGGCAAAAAACCGCGCGTCCTGATCTTTTTCGACGGCGCGCGCAAGGGGGAAGGGGGTGGGGGGAAGGCTTCTTAGAAGGAGGCTGCTTTTTAGAAGGCGCCGGCCCTGTATTCACAGAGAAGGCCCGCGCCTTCGGAGAAGCAGGGGTGCTTCTGAGAAGCCTTCCCCCCTCCCCCTGCCCCCCTCTGCGCGTTGCCGATTCTTCACGACGCCAGCCCAGACATGAGACGTCGTGCTTTTCCAATGCGCGGTCCTTGGAAGTCCCGCCCCTTTCCCCGGGACCGGTGCTTCATCCTGGGTCGTCTTTTCTGACGGCCCCCCCGGGCCCGGCGAGGGCCTTGCCCCGGGAGGCCAGAATAAATTGCCCCAGACCTCCCGTCGCGATGTTTTAACGCCGCGATCATGCCTGGGAGCATGCCTGGGGTGCGCAATCCGAAGCCCTTTGCCACCGTTAGAAGAACAACATCGCTATAAGTAGAAACTGTTGGCGCTCCGCGCGGATTTTTCTTGGATCTGCGCTGGACCCCCTCCCTGGTTCGCGCAGCGCGACAGGGGCGGCGCCGGAGGCGCTGCTGGCGGGGCCCAGCGCGGATCCAAGAAATCCGCGCGGAGCGCCAAAAGTTTATGTCTATAGCGATTTTTCCTCTTCGAGGGGGAAGAGGAGGGGGAGGGGGAGGAGGGGGAGGGAGGAGGAGATGGAGGAGGAGATGGAGGAGGAGGGGGGGGGAGGAGGAGGAGGAGGAGAGGAGGAGGAGGAGGAGGAGAGGAGGAGGAGGAGGAGGAGGAGGAGGAGGAGGAGGAGGAGGAGGAGGAGGAGGAGGAGGAGGAGGAGGAGGAGGAGGAGGAGGAGGAGGAGGAGGAGGAGGGGGACGGGTCGCCCTTCGGAGAAACCCTCCACGGCCCCTGGGGGCCACCGCCGCGCACAGCGCGCCCAAGCGGCGGGGCGGCGCCGGCCAGCGACCGGCCTCCAGGCCGGGGCCCTCGCGCTCGGCCTCCTTGATGGGCTTGTTTTCCACCGTCACCACCATATGTTGGAGGGGGAGGGGGTCCTCCTCCTCCTCCTCCTCCTCCTCATCCTCCTCCTCTCCGTCCTCCTCGTCCTCCTCCTCCTTCCCCCCTCCAACGTGTGGTGGTGGTGGTGGAAAACAGGCCCATCACTCCTCCGGCGGGGGCTCGGGGCGCGCGAGGGGCACGCGCTGCTCATCGGCGGCGGAGGCCGGCGCCATCTCGCTCTGCGCGGGCCCAGGCGCCCGAGGTCTCGAGGGGCTCGGTGCGGAGGCGCTTCCCCGAGATCCGGCGCTCCAGCGAAAACACTGGAGCGGCGGGCCTTTGGCAGCCTTCGGCCTCCGGGGGCCCTCGCCGGGCCTCGCGGGAGCGTCACGAGACGAGTCAGGGCGAAAAACCGGTTCTGGGGGAATGGTCCAAACCTCCAGGGTCCACGCACCAACAGAAAAATTGGAGCAGCCTGACGTCTGGGTTCACGGCTGCCGTGGCCGGGCCGCGGGGCTGTCCCAGGGCCAGCTCGGGAGGAGGGGCTGTCCAGATCCCTGGCCGTGGGGCCCCGCACCGAGAAGTTCGAGACATCGGGCGCCTGGGAGGTTGGCAGCTGCCAGAGGTATAGCCCCTGGCACTCCTCGTCGGGAGCTCTCTTTTCTCTCGTCCCCGAACCTGGTTAACCTGGGAAGGGAGATTCTGGGAAGGCTGCGTCCTTGTCGCCATGGCCTGGATTCGGGGATTCCCCTCCACCTCCATCTTCCATACCTTCCGACCTCTGCGGAAGGCGCGGAGGGTGATGCATTGAAGCTACTGAAAGCCCCCGGAAACGCAAGACAAGACAGCGTGTCACGAAGCGCAAGAGCGTGGAAAGCCAGCACGGAAGGTCTGGAAGAATGCGGGCGAGGGTCGTCGCTACCGACCGAGCTGACTTCCGCTCGAGTCCGAGGCGGGACATCAAGCGTCGGCATCCGCTCCCGAGGGGGTCGTGGCGCCGGACCCCCGGCGGCCCCGAGGGCCTGGCACATGGGGCGCAGGGGGGCGCTGGCATCCCCTCGCCCTCCTTCTTCCAGACCTTCCGTGACCTTTCTCGAGGAAGCAAGACCTTTCTCCAGGGGGGCGCTGGCTTCCCCTCGCCCTCTTTCTTCCACCCCTTCGCGGGAACTGGCAAGAAAACGGCAAAACGGAACCAGTAAAAAAAACGGCCCTGTCGTTTCCAGGGCCCACTACCCTCGTCCTCATTCTTCCAGACCTTCCGTGCTGGCCTTCCACACTCTTGCGCTTCGTGAAACGCTGACTTTCCTTGCGTTTCCTGAGGCTTTTGATAGTTTCAGTGCATCACCTTCCGCGCCTTCCGCAGAGGTCGGAAGGTGTGGAAAATGGAGGTGGAGGGTCTTAGCGGGCCCGAACCCAGAGATTCGATGCGTCGTGACTGTTTCGAGGCGGGGGCCCTGGAAATCTCGACCGATTTCCTGGCACCGGTTTCTCATCCCGAGCGGTTTCTTGACAGCCCCGACGCCCAGCGAGGGCCCCTGGGGGCCGAAATCCGGGAAAAACCTCCGTCTCGATTTTTTCAACACGTTGGATCTCTGGGAAGGGATCCCGAGAAGGCCCTGGCAGGCCCCATGGGGGTTGGGCTGGACTGCGTGCTCCCCCGACGGCCCTCGAGGGATCCCCGGAGAGTACCCCTGCGCGCCCCCATGGCGTCTGAGGTCGGCGTCCATGAGACGACAAAGGGTGCTCCAGGACCCAGACCCCCCGACGTCATGATTTTTTTCCGAACCCTGAGATCCAACGTGTTGAAAAAATCAAGACGGAGGTTTTTCCCAAATTTCGGCCCCCAGGGGCCCTCGCTGGGCCTCGAGGCCGTCAAAAAACGACTCAGGATGAAACACTGGTCCTGGGGGATGGGCCGAGACTGCCGGGGACCCCGTACTGAAAAAATCACGACAACGGATCTCTGGGCCGACGTCATGATTTTTTCCTAACGTCGACCTTGGAGGTCTCGACCCCTTCCCCGGGACTGGTTTTTCAGCCCGGGCGGTCCTTTGACGGCCCCGGGGGCCGGGTGAGGGCCCCCAGCGGCCGAAAGTAGCGAAAGGCCCCCCGTCGTGATTTCTTCACAGCGCGAGGGGGCCTGGGGAGGGCGTCTGGCAGGGCGATGCTTCGTCTGCATGCCGAACCCAGGGATCCGATGTCGTGATTTTTTTAAATACGGGGTCCCCGGCAGTCTCGACCCATTCCATGGCCCTCCTCGTCGGAAGCCTTTCGTGTCTGTGGGAGGTCCTCGGGGCGTTCCTGGAAATTTTCTCGCCGGGATCTCAGGATCCCAGAGATCCGACGTCGTGATTTTTTTGCATGCGGGGTCAGCCGAAGTCTCGACCCATTCCCTGGGACCGGTTTCTCATCCCGAGTCGTTTTTTGCCGGTCCCAGCGCCCGGCGAGGGCCCCTGGGGGCCGAAATTCGGGAAAAATCTCCGTCTTGATTTTTTCAACATGTTGGATCTCAGGGAAGGGATCCCGAGAGGGCCCCGGCATGCCCCATGGGGGTTGGGCTGGACTGCGTGCTTCCCCGACGGCCCCCGAGGGATCCCTGGAAGGCGCTCGGCTGGCGCTTCCGCCCTCCTCCCCTATACAGCCGGTCTGGGGCGCCAGCCGGTGGGGCCTCTCGGGCCTCTCGGGCGGCCCTGGCCGGCCGCACCGCTCGCCGTGCCCAACTGCCCGTGCGGACGCGCTGGGCCACTCCATGGGGGCCCAGAGGTCCAACCTGTTCACCCTGGCCAACATTCTTCTGGTTAGTGGGCCCTGGAAACGACAGGGCCGTTTTCTTACCGGTTCCGTTTTGCCGTTTTCTTGCCGGTTTCGACGCCGTTGTTTTACCGGTTCCGTCGCCGTTTTTTGACCGGTTCCGGCTCCGGTTCCCGTTCCAATCCTGGAGCCTTTTTTTGCCGTTGCCGGTCGCCGTTTTTCGCCGTTTCTATCTTCAAGGGGCACTTTTTTGGGAAACGGTGAGAAAACGGCCCTGCCGTTTCCTGGGCCCACCAAGCCCTGGGCCCTTCCCTCGCCCACATTCTTCCAGACCTTCCGTGCTGGCCTTCCACACTCCTGCGCTTCGTGAAGCGCTGACTTTTCCTGCGTTTCCTGAGGCTTTTGATAGTTTCAATGCATCACCTTCCGCGCCTTCCGCAGAGGTCGGAAGGTGTGGAAGATGGAGGTGGAGGGTTTGTCGGGCCCCAGAGGCCGTGAGACGTGGGCCTGGGGTGAAAACCTGCCCCCCGTGGTGCGTCTCTGGGGCCGCGCACTGGAAGAGTCCTACCGTCGGAGGCCTCTGGGCCTCTGGGGGCCCCCGGCCTGTCGCGCCATCCGCGAGCCCCTGGCGGGCCTGAGCTGGGTCGGATCGCGAGATCGGATCGGGCCGGGAAGTGAGCAAACCGACGTCCGATCGCCGCGCCCGGCCCCCGCGCTGGCACCAGCCGATGCTGGCGAGTCGCTCCGAATCGAGTCGAGTCGGAATCGCGGCCCCGGCCGGCGAATCTGATCGCATCGAGTCGGATCTGATCGCGGCGGGTGCTCTGGAGGCCACCGGGGCCTACCTGGGGAAACCCTTGGGCCAGGAGCAACCTCTCGGCAGTGCCAGTCACAGGATCGGGGAGGGCGGCGCGCAGCAGCCGGGGGGGCGAGCCAAAGTGCCCGTCGAGCCGCTGCCCTTGAGAGCCGAGGTGGCTACGGAGGGCCCTCCTGCGGGGTGGGTCGGTTCGGCTCGGTTCGATCGGCCTCCTGGGAGGGGTCCCCCTCTGAGGCGAGGACGGATGGAAGGAGGAGGAGGAGGAGGAGGAGGAGGAGGAGGAGGAGGAGGAGGAGGAGGAGGAGGAGGAGGAGGAGGAGGAGGAGGAGGAGGAGGAGGAGGAGGAGGAGGAGGAGGAGGAGGAGGAGGAGGAGGAGGAGGAGGAGGAGGAGGAGGAGGAGGAGGAGGAGGAGGAGGAAGGGGAAGGAGGAGGAGGGAGGAGGAGGAGGAGGAGGAGGAGGGGGAGGGAAGGGGGAGGAGGAGGAGGAGGAGGAGGAGGAGAAGGAGGCGGAGGAGGAGGAGAGGAGGAGGAGGAGGAGGAGGCGGAGGAGGAGGAGGAGGAGTAGGAGGAGGGGAGGAGGAGGAGGAGGAGGAGGAGGAAGGGGGAGGAAGGGGGAGGGAAGGGGGAGGAAGGGGGAAGGGGAGGAGGAGGAGAGGAGGGAGGAGGAGGAAGGAGGAGGAGGAGGGAGCGGGCTGTTCAGCACTTGAGCCACAGTATGTTTACGATCAGTGCCTATAACAAAAAATAGCCCCAAAAGGGTGGGCTTGCGTCCAACCATGGCGTACTGAGGGGCCTCGAAGAGCACATGACGTTCTAAACAGTCCTAGCGGGACCATAGATCATCTCACTCAAGGAACAGGGGGAGGAGGAGGAGGAGGAGGAGGAGGAGGAGGAGGAGGAGGAGGATCATGATTATGATGAGGAAGAGGTTTTTTTTGGCTCCACGCCCTCCTCTGAGTCCTTTAAAAGGATCTGACACCTGCTGCAACGAGGCGGTGCAGCAGGCCTGTGAATAAAATTAGGCATACGTGTTGAAGCACTGCATAAGATTGCCGACATCAACCGTAACACCCGCTTTCTGTTGCCTGTAATGCGGGTGTTTGCCTTTGCACAGGGCTTCCCAGCCGTACCTCGCTGCGCGCGACGGAGGCGGCTGGCACTTGGCGGCTAACCCGCGGACAGAGGCTCCACTGGAATGCGCCTTGCACCTGGTGCAAATAAACAAAACCGAGCCATCAGAGCAGTCGAACGCAATCGTACGGTGCTCGAGGGCGTCCTGACTGGACGCGTGCAGCCGAGAAACCTGAGAACAGACACCTGGCAAGGGCCTACTCTGAGATCGCTTGCCTCTGAGGCAAACAGCACAGCGCCACACTCCAGACCACATTTCCCAGCGATGCCCTGCGGTCGCAGCGGCAGCGACATGCGGGGCAGGAATTCGTCCTACCTCGGAGAGGTCCAAGGCAGGCCACACATGCAAAACATGGGCCGCCAGCCTGATAGTCTGGCGTGCCTACGTGACAAGCTTATCAGCAGCCGCTAGCTTGTCTGGGCACGAAGGATGAAGGTGCACTGCGTGCTTGGCTGCCGCGTCCGCATGATGGTTGCCGAGGCGCCTCCAGCGCTCAGCAGCGTCGATCCCCGCCTCATCCAGCTCCTTGTGAGCTGCGACTTTAGTGCACGTGGAAGGCGAGATACCTTGGGCATAGAGTTGGAGGAAAGCCCCAGCGTAGGCCCTCTTCCCACACAGCTGCTCGGCCTTGGGCCTACAGGCTAGATTGACCACATTGCTGCAATCAGAGAACACATCTATGCAGGCCGACGCGAGCACATTGGCCCAAGTCCAGCAGCTGAACTCGGCCGACTGAGGCGTCTGAGGATATGGGGCCCAAGCTGGGGCCCGAAACTCGGCGACGGCCGACCCTTGATCGTCGACCATCACCACACTGCAGCCAGCCCTGGAGAGCTCCCGAACAGAGTGACGGCTGCTAGACCCGTCGATGAAAACGCTACCCCAAACTTCAATGCCAGGCTTAGCCCCAGAGGGCGACGAGATATCTTGGTGGTGCCACACAAGAAACGGGCCATTGTCCGTCTCAGTGAGGGGCCTGGGGTACCCATCGGCGGGGTGGCGGAAAGCCCCAGATATAAAAACGAACGCAGCTTCCTCGTCGTCCTTAGCTGCTAAGGCTTCGGCTACAGTACTAGCTTCAACTAGAGAAAATCTAAGCTCAGCCACTGGCTCGTGGGGGCACTCCCACAACCTGTGGAAGATCGTGTCCGAGGCGCCGCAGAACGGGCAACTGCCGTCCACGAGGTAGCCTAAGCTCACAGCACGATCTCCAGTGAAAAAGGCTTCGGTGGCGAACGCTCTAATGTGGGCCTTCTGGAGGGCCGTGTATTTCTTGGAGGCCAGGGCCTCGCGCAGCACATCATAGCATATCCTGGGGGGCACTCCCCTCTTTTCGGCGGAGAGACGCTCCAACATCCTAAAATAACCGTCCTTGAGCAAAATCCTGAATAAGGCAGGCGAGATAATGCCGAGGGGAATAGAGAAGCCACGGTCATCTCGCACCGTCATGAAGTTGTCCATGCACCAGCCCAGCCTAACCAGGGACATCCGAAGGGCCGGCACGGGGCCCGCGACCGCTCTCCAGGAGCAGGCAGGGTTGGAGAACACAGCTTCCCACGCACGACGCAACGAGGGAAAACCCAAACCCCAAGAGTAGGCCCCAGTCTGGGCCAGCCAGATCTCCTTGGACCAACGGAGGATGGGGGCGGTGGCAGTGCGCCAGCACGGATCATAATCGAGCAAAGCCGCCGTCGTCAGGGATCTCAGCTGAGATCGAGGTCGGACCACCGAGAAAACTTGACGACGGAGGCGAAGCAACTCGAGGTCGCTAGTGCCAATAATTTCCGCGCCATAAGAAGCCCCCGCGAGGGGCCCCGAGGAGAACACCCTAAGAACCTGCGGCCGGGAGATGACTTTAATCTGACGCTTTAATCTCTTGGCCGCCCTCGCAGCCTTGGCGATGCGCATTTTGGACTTCACCGAGCGCCCCGCCACCCTAAGCGCGCGGCCAGCCGTGTAGTCAACGCCTAAGTTGACAGCATTCGACGTAAAATTACCTCCTAAATGCGAAATCTCTACAGAAACCTCATCCCCAAGGGCCTTCGAGGAAGCGACAACAGCGGTCTTATCCAGGGCGAGGGAGCAACCGAAACAAGACTCAACGATGCCGTGGAGCGCCTTGGCCCCTTCGACGATCGATTTGACCACGGTCCGATGTTGGCCCGTGCACGAGAGACCCTGGTCGTCGATATACACATCGAGGTCGAGCCTGGGGATGGAAGGAAGAGAATCGTATCCGTCCTGGCAGAAGACACGAATGAACGTGGTGGCCATCGAGCACCCAGCGATAACCCCATTCAGGCAGAAGTAGGGGCCTTCCAGCCACCCTCCAAGACAGAGAAAGCGCCCACACCTGTAGGCATAAATGCAAAGACGGGCAATCGCAAGAGGGAATCCATGTTTCTTGCAACGGGCCTCGAGCTCTTTCAGACTGATGTTCTCATAGAACTTACGCAGATCGAAGAGAACAGAACATGAGGACTCCCCGATGGCAAGACCCGTCTCGGCGGTGACAGCTTGACGCCAAACCACATCGGCAGCTCCGCGAAACCTACCAGCAGCCCAGTACCGTTTGGGGTGTTCTTGCTCCCAGTTCAAGGCAAAGGGCCGCCGACAGCGGCCCCAAACCCTGAACCAGGAGCAGAACACCCCAATCGGCCTGTATCCACCAGTAGGCTTCGGCAGAAGCGCCAGAGTGACGACAGAGATCTGCGGAGGAAGGCAGCCTAGCGCTTCCATGACCGAAAAAATGGCACTGAGGCAATCGAGAGCAGCATCAGGCAACAAAGAGAAATGCTTGCAGTGAAATCCGTCCACAGCCACGGCCGAATAATCTTTGTAGGACTTAGAGATAGCACGGATTTCGCTGGCCGTGGGTCGGGGAAGAGGCTCGACGACCTGACCATCAAACTCGGCCCCTCGACCCTCACCCCATATGCTGCTGAACCTCTCTCCCTCCGCCTTGAGCAGGGGGAGAGGATCACTGACGACGCACCCAGCAGCAGAGAGAGTCGAAGAAGGGACCCACGGAACAGGATCTTTAATGCACTGGTGAACCCTTTTAGCCCCTTGATTGATGCCAACATGCAGCCAAGCAGCCCAGTCTGATCGACTCCTGGCGGCGTACTTGGAGCTGGCGGCCTTGACGGCCTCGTGAACCTGAGTGTGCAGATCAGCGAGCGACTCCACATCCCCACCAGAGCCAAGGGCGGAGACCTCCTGATCCGCTCGCTTGAACAGCGGCTCGTAGTCTTCCACCGCGGCCGTGATGCTGGGCGGGGGCTCCACCAACACGCAACTGAGCCTGGCAGCAGTGGCAGCAGCGCCTCCGCGCCGAGCGTGCATGAAGGCGCGAAGCTGTTGCCCGAGCCAACGGATCGCGCGATGACCAGGGTAGCGCACCTTACCATCCTGGCCCAAGATAGGTTTCCACACAAGTTGAGGACCCAGGCCCCTGGAGCCAAGCTTGGGGGGGGGGGGCAACACCCACCAGGGGAATAAGGTCACGTTCAGCGTGGTCGGCCCACTTCCTGTAAAGAGGGCCCAGAAGACGTTTGGCCCCCTGACTGTCTCCATTCTGAAGACAACGTTCAGCCTCGGACGCCAGCGCAAGTTCCCCAGCCCAACAACTTTCTCTTTGGGCAGGGCCAAACACCACCTGACACGGCAGGGGGGGAGGCTTCCTGAACGAGAGAGCGTGAAGCACCGCCAGCTGGGGGGTGAAACACCAACTGGACGGGCCTGTGGGGGGAGAGCTCCGTATCCAATCTCGTATCGACCGACTTGAGACCCTTCGCCAGACCGCCCGAACCAACGAAGTAGCCGAACGTCGTGGGAGGGCCCACAGGATAGTGCGTCGCGACAATGGGGAAGATGAGGGAAGCCCTCAACTCAGACACAAAACTGGAAGACTCGAGCTCAGCAGGCTCCAGATTAAAGTCGGCACCGAGCACCCACGGCTGGCCAACAGCCGAAAGTTGCTCGCCGAGCCTCGCGAGCAGAGACAGGTTATCATCGCTGAGGCCTT